TGCTCACATTCAGCGACACACAGGAGCTCTTTCAAGCTGGGCACCGTTTCATTCACAACACCTGTCCCATCAACCAGGAACCAGAAATACTTTAATAATCCCAGGGAGGGATTACTTTAGTTAAATTACTCCATCTGTAATAGAGTGACTAAACTGTGTTTATTCTTTATTCTTTCCAGTTCAGTTAACATAACCAATGGGGAACTAATGAGTCATTATTGGACTACTGACACTAAAGAATCAGTGAAATCGAATCCTGTGTATGAATGTTTGCTAATAGGCTAAGTATAAAGGCTAAATCTTAAGTTATCTTATTAGTTTTTTGCTTTTTTACTTTTTACAACAAATGCTAAACAATTCAGACCTTCTAGGAGGCTGTAGATTCTATAAAAACTCACCATGACACGAGACAGGACTTCTGTGGATGTTTGATTTTGGTAGATGTGATGGAAATTACATTTTTTAAACATATTCAATGGACCAAAGTAAGAATAAATGAATAAGATAAGTAATAATAAAATGAGAACATCCCTCTGGTTCCTCCTCTATCAATCCTGGATAACACATCCTCTCTGAATGCAGTTGGTCTTTTCTTTGGAGCTGATCTTTAGAAAAATAAAATGCAAAGATTCTTTTTCTTTTTGTGGACCTCTTTTGGTTTGTGAGGAATACCTGAAAGCTTTAAGAATTTAGTTTAGTTTATTGTTGCTTTAATTAGTCCTAAAATCATTAAACTAAACTGAGAAATAATGATTTAACTTGTGAGCAAAACATGGACTAAAACTTGGGCCAAAATTAGGCGACTAAACTCATTATGACAGTTCAGCATGGAAACCAGCTGGACTAAAACCTGGAGGACAGCGCCCCCTAGGGCTGGCCTGGTTTAGAACTAGCTCCAGTTCTCAGCCCGTCCTTTATTAGGATGTTTTAGGATCCAACTCTGCTTCAGCTTTCTTAGGTTTCCTGGTTTCCTGGTATAAGTCAGCCTTCAGGCTACGTTCACACTACAGGCCTTGATGCTCAATTCCGATTTTTTTGTCAAATCCGATTTTTTTTGTGTTGCAGTTTACATTTCCAAATATATGCGACCTGTATGTGATCTGCTGTGTGAACTGCATTCATACAGCTTCCTGTTCCCGCAGCTTCAGTGTCCCGCCTGCGCAGTAGAGGACGCGATGACGTCACACGCCAGCGTGCTCTGTGTTTACGAAAGTAAACATGGATGGTAGCGCTGGAGCGCATCTAGCGATCTAAACCAACCTTACAAGCTCAAACTGTTCAAGCATCATTGTCCGCCATGGTTGTTTTTCTTGCCGCTTCTGCGTAGCGAGACACAGAATATTGACCTATGCCGACTACTAAAGGCGTTTAGGTCGGATGAATGCGACCTGGCCGTTCAGACGCAGATCGCATTGGAAAAGATCGGATTTGTATCTGATTCAGGACCATAGAGCTAAGTGATCTGGGTCGCATTTGAAAAAATTTGGATCCGTGTCGTTCAGACTGTCATGACGATATCAGATCCAGGATTGCATTTGGGCAAAAAAAATCGGACTTGGGTCCCTTCAGAATGCTGTTTCTAACCCTCCTGTCTGATGCTCCAGGTGCGAACAGCGGCTGCAATCATTTAAGGCAGAGACATCTAAAACAAGCAGGACTGAATTTGGAAACCACTACCATTGTCAGCTATTAACTTTTCAGTCGATCCAAGACGACAATAAACGCCACAACTTTATCAGTGTTGTTTTATTATCAGGCTTGTTCACATTGATAAATATTTCAGTTCAAATATGGGAGCGTTTGTTTTCTGACCCTGGAGGAAGGAACCCTGTGATCTGGTCTCTTTAGCCGTCGACGTTCTCCACCCATGGAAACACTCCACAAAGCTGGGCGAAACAACCAAGATTTTATTGCCATTGTGCATGAACTTTGACACTGCAGGTTACACAGGGAAGTAACATGTCGTGGGTGGAGGACCACACCCCCGTGACCTGCTCTGGTTCTACTCGGTGCTGGTTCTGGAGATGCTCGCTGATCCAGCCTCTCGACTCAAAACCAAAGCAAAGCAGCATGTCAAAGAACGGGCAACATCCTGGATGACAAAGCCGTCACTTTTCTGCTCCATCTTTTCTCCCCAAATTATTGCACACACCTGTTTTCCCCATGTCAAGCATATGTGGGATACTGGGAAAGCTTAAGCTCTTGGTAAGGTGCTGAAATGTCCTTAGAAACCACAACATTGCATTGAGCCTCTTCGAAAGCCACATATTTACAAAATAGGAATGGAAGGTGGATGCAGGGATTCAACAAGCACACCAGATAGTAAAATAAACGTAGATTATGCGTCACTCTTGCACAGAATAAATAAGATGCTGAGAGGGTTGGGATGTTCGGTCGCCGCGGTGACGGATGGACGGTGAGAGGGAGGAGGCAGCCGGTCTTCTCTCATGTCTCTACGTTCCGGCGGAGAGTCGTCTGGTCAAACCTGGAGGAATGTCGTCAGTGGATCAGGATAGTTTCTATCAGAGCAGGAGTGGCCGGTCCTGATCCACGGCTGCAGGAAACTCCACTGCAAACCTTTATTCAACAGGCCAAGATGGCTGCAGACAGGAAGGAGCACAACGGGTCCAACAGCTGGAACTCTGAGCCACGCTGAGGAGCGAGCAATCTCTAACCATCCCCTCTCATTTCTAGGTCCGTCATCGGCTGCACATCCGGTTCTGTCCTGAACTGGTTTGGGTCTGAGGGTTTGGGACTGGGAGCTGATTAGGACATGAAACGGTTCAGATCCAGAGCAGGACAGGCTTTATGAAGGTGCTTTGAACCGGATCATCGGAATTCAGCGAACATTGTGTTGCATGCGGGACACAAAAGTGATCCAATCTGGAACCCTGGAAAGTAGTGTTGCACCGATGCCATTTTCTGGCCCAGATACCCGGCTGTGCAGTATCAGCCGATACCATCTGTCTGACATTGATGTGTGTGTATATATGAAGAACTGCAGACTACTTGGATGTAAAATAATCACCATAATGGCTTCATGTCAAGCTGCTGCCTTCCTTAGTGAAGCAGGAAAATGACTAAAACTAAGTGAATCCAGTAGAACTTTTATTGCCTACCTGGAATGGATGACAATAGTTGAAGAAACTTTTGGTTCTCAAGACGGTATCGGTGCCCTATTGGTTGGTACTCGCCGATACCAATACCACCATTTTAGTGCTGGATCGGGGCCCCGCCCAATACTGGTATCGGTGCAACACTACTGGAAAGCAGAAAAATCCTGTCCTAAGCACTGCTGCAGTCTGAAGCGTTCTCCTTTTGTCTGATTTAAAGCAACAGCGTGAAACTTTTAGCCAATAGTGGGCAGCAAACCTGTAACGTTCTCGTTACTGACCCATTCTTCCTCTTCGGTCTGTTATCCGTCCAGTTTGGACCAGCAGATTGAGAAGTCAGGAGTTCCTGGTTCAGACGTTAACCGGCTGGACTGAATCCTCCATCGGAGAACCAGAAACACCTCTGATCAAGTGAAGGGTCCGAGCTAACGGTGCGTTTTGCTCTCCTTACATTTCGTCAGGAATCCGTGACGGAATTTCCCACTGTGGGCCGAAGCCTACGCCATGTCATCACATCTGCTTGTTGGTTTCACCTCAACACGGCAGACCTGGATTTTGGTTCTTTAGCCATCCCTGGATCCAACAGATCCTACAGAGAGGCTCCCAGTGGAGGGTCTCCAGGTGCGGCTAAATCAAGGTTATTTTACGCAAAGTGAGGCGACGTTCTGAGAAGCCCAGAGCGGGATGAAGCTCTGAAGCTAACAGCGACAGAATGGACGAGCACAGCAGTAAGTGGTAGCTGGCGGCCGGGGAGAGCGAGGAAAGATGGCTGCAGCTGTCGTTCGTCTGCGCTGGAGCCAGACAAACCCGACCCTACCTCACAATTATATCTAGGTCCTGTTTAATAACGCAGAAAAACACTAAATAAATGATTTTTTTTTTTTTTAAATCTGCGTTTTCCCTGTGGTTTCACTTTGCTGAACGAGGAATTACGTGTTCAGCAAATGACTCACCTAGCATCAGGTCCGACGCTCACTAGGAGAGTCTAATGCTACGTTCACAGCGTA